GATCACACCAGCTTTGCTCTAAAGAAGCAATGGTTGATGGGTTTTCTTATACAGTTCAGCAAGAACTACACTAATTCACAATAATCTTTAAATTCAGAGATAATACAGGAACATGGGCAAACTTAAAACAGTTTCAACAACCATGAATATTCACCTAAAGCCGTGTTTTCCCCTCGTTCCCTGTACCCGTGATCTCAGAGTGGTTTCCCTCGCAGCACCTAACATCGTTCTGGCACAGAGCGGCGAACAGACTCAGTTACTACTCACACACCACCCACCGGCACAGCGGAAAGGAAAGCAGTCTCTCAAACTCACGCCTTGCGAAGCGAAGAACTAAACCAGCAAATAAATCCTGGATGTCATCTTTTCCCAAGCAGCGTGGAACCCGGGTGACGGCATCGCCTCTGCTCCTCCTTTGCTGCCCACATTTCAGTTCCAACGTCGGGAGCCCAGAGGGGCTCCAGGTGCATTTCACACCTCCCCAGAGCCACAGCCTCCTGCCAGCTTTTCTAGCACAGTGGAAGAGGCCCAGAGGGGGTAAGATACAGAGGATAATTCCAAATTAACAGCGACACCCAGCCCCTGGTGTCGGGAGGCACAGCTGCTCTGCAGCGGAGCGACAACGGCAACAACTGGCTTTGCGTTACACATCTGGGTGGACATGGGGACACGGAGAATGACAAACCACAGCACGCAGCGAAATGACTTTTTCCTCGTTCTACCGGGTCACTCTGATCAACTGTGCTCATTTACAAAGCCAAAAAACCCCTAACAGTTGTTTTTTTTTTTTTTACCAAGAACATGATTTGCACAGATGAGGGCAATTTTCACCAGCGGGTTTTCAGGGGACGAAGCCTGAAGATATTCAAGCATGTTCCAGCGTGCAATTCAACATCAAGAACAGGCTTCAGGCAAAATCTACAAGGACAGACTACGTGACATTATTTTTTTTTTAAGCCTAAAAATTGCTTTTCATTCCAAGGGGTCAAACAAAGCCTTTAATTAAATAAGAACCTCACGCCAATTCCTTCATGACTGTCATCAAGGCCACCCAAGAGAGTTTGCCAGACAGAAAAAGTTAAAAGTATCTTCTACTAAACCACCGAGTTTCAATCTAAAAGGACTATTGACGAGGAAGAAATGACTTAACATCTGTGCTACTCAAATCTAGCCAGTTAATTAAACGTAACATTTCTTCTTGAATTTTTGGGACCCGAAGTGGTGTCACAAGTGTGTTTATTTGCAGCAAGCTCACATGCAGGCAACAAACGTGCTTGTACCAACAGCTCCAGGGAAGCCTGATGCTGCAAACATCCCTCACTTTGCACTGAGACCGTGTTAAGCACATTTTCTCCTACCCAGGATGTTTAACACTGTTTCATGTCTGATTTTATGCGGTCCGTCATTTTCAGCTCACGCAAAGATACCATGAAAATACGTTCAGAACAATTCTCTGGCAGGAGAGTCCCCTTCATTTCCTGATGGTTTTCTTACAGACTGACAGTGCTTTGCCCTGGATCTTGTCAAAGACACGACAGACCTTCAAAGCAAGCACCGTGTGGAAGGCTGTAAATAGCTTCTCAACGGAAACAGGTGAAAAATGAAAAGGGGAGACCGGATACAAAGGACAGCAGAGGCATTGTGATATAAAACTGTAAAGATCACAATTAAAGAGGCTGTAATTAACCGCTAAAAGTGCCCAGTGGAGGTTCTCTGGTGGCTGTTCTAGATCCTGACTCTGTACCATCTCAAGTAAGATCATTAACGACAAAATAAACCAGCAATTCAGCAGCTGCCTAAAATGCTTTGTTTAACAGGTAAATCTCAATCAATCACAGTTTCCAGAGCAGTATTCAAACATGATTTGGTTTCAAAGCAGTACAGGAAACCCTTCAATGGTTTCCGCATAGTTGTTCCAAGGAAAAGAAAAACACTGGTGTAAACAACTCTAAATGCAAGAGAATGTGCAAATTATACAACATTAACACAAAGGTGTTTTGTTCTTAAAAAGCCATTTAAATATCCCACAAAGATGTTAATGGGAAAATTAAAGGGCTAGTGTATTATAAAAGCGTTAAAATAAGACACGTAATACCCCACTTGTCTGTTAGAATCTCAAATTATTAGAACAAATTTTTAAAACCCAATTTTTAAAAAACATTTACGCTGTTGCATACTGTCTGCGTTTTACTCACTTGCTCAGTGAAAACCAATGAACCAGTTTCACTTTAGGATTCTTGTGCACTCAAAAAAGCTGCACTATTTGGTCTTTAGCATTTCAGGAAAATGACTGAGCTCAACCCAAACCAGCATTGTGCCTGAAGTTCAAATCCCACCGCCACCACCAAATAAGCCCGCTCACGGTTGGTTTTGTGACAGTTTGCGGTGACATTGCCACTGAAGACCACCGTACATGTAAAGAGCTGTTCATCAATTTACTGTTCACAGATTGGAAACTCTCCTTTTTCAGTTTTCAAGATGGATTTATTCAAGCTGAAAACCAGCATTAAAGAGAACTCCAGCTCTGCAGGACTGGCATTTTTTGGTTTTTGGCTTTGTAAGTTTGCTTAGATAACACCGCAGGAATAGAAGGAGGAATAAAAGAATTGGTTTGTTGCATTCAAAATGAAAATCACGGATTTTTAAAGGTCTTCGACAGCTCAGCTGTACGGAAGAATGGTGGCTTCTGTGAAACTTTTTAAATCTCATTTTTAGGCCAGTACCACTGCTTAAAATGCAGAATGTCTCCATCACGCTTATATTGTGACAACTCAATACATTACACCACAGACATTTAACATAACTCCATACATGCTATAAAAAAACAACAGGGGGAAAAAAAAAAAAACCAAAAAAACAAAATAAAGGAAACAAATAAGACCGTAGCTAAACTGCTTTAAATACTGCATGCTACAGCACTTCACGTATCATCAAGATACGACACTGAAAGGTGACAAAAGGCTGAAGGGATTACAAAATATTTTCGGCAGTTTGGAAAGCTGCCTTCTTACTGTGGCAGAATTATTCCCCCTCCCCATTCTCTACTTCTAATGTTCATGATTCTAGCGTTGAGTTGGCCAGGTATTTTTTTTTATCCATGTTAATTACAGTGTTTCTTAACTTAATTAAATCCGTCGGTGTGGTAGCTGGGGTGAGAGTCGGCTGTGAGCTGGGTTGTCTCTGTGGCTGATGCTGGCTGTATCACAATAGGTGCATCTGAGGCCTCTGAAAAGCAAAGACAAAAGGCTCAGCACACCAAGGAGAAAAACCAGCATCATATGTTTTAGTAAGCCTAAGTTACATCTCCCCACAACACTTCGATAACACAACTTTAGACTCAGGAGCACAATGTTAATTTGCTGTTTTTCAGGCTGCACACAATACCATTCCACTCCAGTCTACATGTGGAACAGTTATTCTATTTCCTTCCTGCTAGTTATTCTATTTCCTGCCTGCTGAAAGAGCAGCTGATCCTCGCCCACCATTCAGCAATGCCCATTAAAAACATGACCAGAGCATGCACAAGGCTCTACAGTTTTCTAAATCATCAGTTTAATTCTACAAAAATAGCGTTATATCTTCATAAACAGTATTAGAAGATAGGTTTCTGCCTGACGCAGTTAAAGCTGCCTTGACACACCCCAGCCTTTGGGGTAAAGGAGCCCCCTTCTGCAGTCCCACGCGCCTGGCTATCTGTCACTCCAGCGACGCGGGGAGGAAGCTAAATGACACTCACCTACTGCTCTGATGCCAGAAAATTCAGTGAAGACTCTCTGGGAGTTTTCAGCAACTGTATCTCCAGTGTCAGTGCTACCCACATAACTCTTGAGCCACAAGCATTCCCCGACCATCATCTACGATCGGAGCCTCGTGTGGATCTCTACAAAGCAAGCGCTGCTCCCCAGCCTGCACCCTGAGCCCCCAGACAGAGGCTGACGGTCACTCCAGAAACCTCACGGTGTTTGTACCTACCCCTTTCATCTGACTGCAACTGTGCCTCCAAGTCCTCTGGAGAGACGTAGTACTCCTGCTCCTCACCCTCAGGAGGTTTAGGTTTACACTTCCCGCAGCAGCAGTTACAGCAGCAGCACAGACAGCAGCAGCAATAGCAGCCTGTGACCAGCCCACACAACACGAACAAGGCCTGCAGAGGACAGAAGACCGAGAAATATTCAGAACCTGTGCCTACCGTGCATGACCACCGAGTTTGTGACACTCAGATATGGAAATCAGAGACCAAAAATACAGCAATGTAGAGACAGAACTTACCAGATACATTTTTTTTGTACTTCATCACCAAGACATATTTAAAACTAAATGCAAAACCAGCTGCACCTGGCAACATTTTACACTGAGGTGAATACCACCAACCTGGTTTACTTGAACCTGCAATTTAGGTTTAAGTGGACTATTCTGCTGCATCTGATACAGGTCTAAGAAGTGTGTCTATATTAAAAACCAGAGGTAGAATTGTCTAGGACAGATTGTAGCTTGCAAAAATAACCCTGGAAAAGATTTACGCTAGCTCGTTGATGTACAGGTCGCGATGTACCTAGGGCAGGGACTTTGACCTCCCCAAGGCTGTAGGCATGGCTGCAAAGCTCACCAGACCGCAGATCAGGGCACTGAGGTTGGACGCTACCAAGACGTGAGCGAGGCATCTCAAAGCCAGCTGGGTGCTTATCACACAACAGGCAAAATCAGAATTTTCATATAGGTCACTGTGTAATTTTTTTATAAAATAATTTTCAAGATTGCAAACCAGCACAGTGATATAACTATTGCCTTACTGCAGAGGAATCAAGAGATGGAGACAACGCTGGCACAGGGTAGAAAAATGAACCCATGAAATGAAATGCCAAGACTAGGAAAAGGGTTTAACCAGCCATAAAGTGCTGTGAACAACGTCATGTCACTAGGTAAGTAAGCTGGTGCAGTTCTGGTTTCATACTTCAGCTTCCTGGTCATGCTGTCTTTTACTGACTACCTTCTGTGCAAGCAGACTGCAATCACATGAACTCCGAAATGCAAAAGCCTGGACAATTTCAGCATGAGAAATGTGCAATGTGCAGGTTTTTTGCACTTTTGAGTAAATGTGGCGGTTTTAAAATGTATTACTTAAAAAGACAGAAGCATATTACACTTAAAAATAATCTGAAACCAGTAAAATATAGTAATTCCTTGGTACTGGCAGAAGACTGGTGATACCCTTTCTGCTGCACTAGAAACAAGGATGGACAAATGAACAAATAACCCAGAGTCTCCCAAATTGGAAAAGAGCTGAACAAGTGACATTTGTTCAGGAAGCCTCCAAGTAAGTTCAATGTAAGTCTTGCTTATTCAGACTATATAACGGAAAAATAATAGAAAAATACTTCTGAACTAGAGATTGCCCCGCAGTAAGAGAAGGTTCATTACCAGGTGTCTGAAATTCAGCAATTTCCAAAAGCAAAACCAAACATAACTATCAAATGGAGCTCTTCAAGAGTTTTAAATGCCCATCCAGGATAACTCCTCTTTGCACTTTTATTTACCTTCGCCCACCAGCTGGATAGCACGAAGTATGTGTTCACATTTTCTTCACCAAACTGCTCTGCTACATACAGACCCAGAGAACCATACTTATCATAAATGTTTCGCTTTGTAGCATCGGTCAATATTGCGTGTGCATTATTGATCTCTTTAAATTTTTCTGCTGCCTCTGGATTATCAGGGTTTTTATCAGGATGGTATTTCAATGCAAGTTTCCTGCAGAAAGAAAAAAGAGATTGTTATAGATTAAAAAATGGGATTTAGGTTTTGGGGGTTTGATTATCTTTTTTTTTATTCCACAGCCTATCACTCAAGGGAGACTTTCAAGCTCCAGTTGGTTTCCTTCATCTCTGATTCAACCTCCCTGATGATTCTTCCTTAGATGATAACAAAAGGCTACAGCACCGTCTAGCTTAGTTCACAGGATTGACTTCAGCCTGCTGGATTTGGCCCTCAGAAATCCAATGGAAAAAAAGAGACATTGAAAAGAGTTACACTTTTTTTTTTTTCCCACCCTTCAGCTCCAGCAATTTCCACCAGTAAGTTTTGCTCCTGCTAAAGCAAAGACCAAGCTAACAGAAAAAAAGACACACAAGTCTAAGATATAACACCAAAGAATAAATAAAAGCAAGCGGCCACAGCTAATCTGCAGTGTCTGAACACAAAAATAGAACAGACAATCGCTTGTGGTTAATTCACCAATTCCTGTGCAGGAACAAAGTACTTTGCAGTTCAAGGCCTCCTAGAATAGAAAAAGCTTCAGAGTTTCGAGATATCAGGAAATCACAACGTACCTCCCCTAGTCATGCCAGATCTCTTACAACTAAATGACAGCAACTGACAGTCCCTGGAGCTCTCTGAACATAGCAAAAAAAAATCAGATTAAGTGGTGACAAATTTGCTAGTTCTCACACAGCCCAGATTAGTTATAGAAATCAGCAGAAATAACTGGCCAAACACCTCCTTATAAACAGAAAAAACTGAGCTCCTAAGTAGAAAAAATATACAGAATTGTATGCTAACAGTTCTCCTCCACCAACGAAGGTACTTGTCCTCCTACAGAAAGTTACCACACCCCCGTATTTGAGGAATACACTAGAAGCCTGCAGACATTTACACAACAAGGTTGCAGTGAGGAAATATTTAGACAAACATAAAATAAAGATTTGTGCAAGCACACATCGGGATGTGCATGCCAGTATATCACAGCATTCAAACAATAAACTGAGCGTGCACTTGAAACACTCAAATCATGTTGCTTGGGTAAATCCAGGGTTGCCACTAACGCCATAATCACAGTTTTTGTAACTAGAGGGAAGTTATATAAACCTGGAAAGGGCTTGGCTACTAACAGGTTGCAATAGGTAAGTATTTTTCATTTCCCATTTCCTAGATGTACACAAACCCCACAGCCCACAGGCCAGCAAAGGATGTTCAAATGGAAGGAAAACAAGAGGTGGGCAGTCCTCCTTTTGAAAAGGTGCAGCAGAGGAAACAAGGTTAGATGAAGATTCAGGTAAGGAAGAAGCAGCTACATTTCACCCTAGGATCTAGTTGGGTCTTTCCTCCAAAGGGAAAACTTGTAGTTTTTCCCCCAGGGAGGTAAAATTATTTTCCAGTTGCTAAAACTGGGAGATTACTGAGACAAACTTCCACTAGGAGGTTTTAGGAAGCTAATTTTTGAGAGTCTGTGGTCACAATTGATTCACCATGTAGTTGCCATCAGTGTTAAAATGGGACTTTGAAAGGGGAAAAGTTTTGGTAAACGTTAAAGTCTAAAAGAAAACTACTTCCAAAGAGTATCCTCAAGCAAAGGTTACTGCTGACCCCTAGTGTAATGTTAACCACATTACCCCTCGTCAAACAGTCCACAAGACCGTAGCTCATGCTCAAGGGTAAAGAAGCAGTTGTACATAAGCAGATTTTGTGGGAATGTGGAAAACGAGGATATTGCAGGACTCGTTTGTTTCTTTATTTGTTTTTGTTTGGTCAATGTGAAGCCATTTCATCTGTCTAAATCTTTAAGAAAGGAAATTAAGTTAAAAAATCCTTTTTTAAAATAGTAACTCCACACAGAATAACAAATTTTGAATGGATTTTTAGAAAAAAGTCATTGTTGATACTCAGTTGCCATCCTTTTTCACATCTTTAAACCTCACTGTGCCAGAATTGGGAATGATGGACCGAAGGGCAATGCTGCACATCCATGGTCTCTGTACGCCAGACACAAGGCTACGTAACATTAATAATTTAACTGACGTAAAACTCTGTTCAACTTTAGAAAAATGATCTCCAAAATGACACTGCGTATTTGAGAACTTACTAGAGATGAGATGTAAAAATTTAACAGCACTTATATGCAAAGCCTAGGCAGGTTTTTACACCAATTTTGCAAGAAGCAACCATATTTTTACCTGGTGTTCTTACTTTTTTTTGGCAAAAGGTTTAAATAAACCAACTCGAGCCTATACGTAAATACGTAATCTATTGAACACTTAATTAAAGCTACTTGTGCTGTTGGGCAACAGGTGTAAAACCCGAACCTTTACCTGTATGACTTTTTGATATCATCTGAAGTGGCATTCTTGTCCAAGCCCAGCACGTGGTATAACGATTCTCCAGACGTAGAGAGCGAACGTTGCCTCTGGTCTGCCATCTTGAACTAACCCGAAGAGAGAACCAGCCCCTGCCAAAAAAGGATTAAGAAATGCTTTAAAAAAGAAGAATACAGACCTCATTAATCAAATCAGCCTTGAAGCCAGAGTTTCCCCTGTGAAAATTCATCTTTTATAAGGTTTAAATGTGCTTTGAAAAGAAAAGGCTCTTAACGTACATGGAAGTTAAAAAGTTACAAAAGTCTGTGAATTCTCAGTGAAAACAGCCATTACATTTTCAGCGCAGCACCAGGCACTCTAGAATGACTTCTACAGATACTCAACTCCATTCTTTCCAGAACCCCCAAATCAACAGCTGCAGTCTAGCTATAGATAGGTACTACATACACATCCCTGAAGCCACTTCATCCTCGTTCTTAGCCTTAAAATAACTGATTTGTGATAATGCTTATAAAAGCAACAGGATAACAGATAGGTTGCCATTACACTGAGGCTGCATTTTCGCACCACTCTGGCACAGGGGTACGTGATTTCATTTGCACTTGCAACTGCACACATTCTGTTACTTTAAAAAAAAAAAAAAAAAAGAAAGCCTCCACGCACCTGCCAAAACTCCAGCCTCCCGTCTCATTGCTGACAGCAGGTCAAGCAGAATCCTTTAGACAAATCCAGCTTGAATATGCCTGTGCATCCCACTAGGAAAGAGGGAACGCTTGCCCACTCAGATACTGGGAAATCTCCTCTCTAATAATTTAACGCCGTGCCTCAAACGTTTAACATGTATTATAGTTAAAATCATACTACTTGAACGTGAATTAACCTCCTGCTCCAAATCCAAATGCGAGACACCCTGGAGGTCTCCCCTGTGCCAGGCCACGGACAGAGACGTTACGTCCTCCAGCACCCTGGGGAGATTAGCACTTGCCATCCTTTAGCTGCAGAACCGCAGCAAGGATGAGCATCGAGGAGAAGACTGCTGGCTATTTTTGGATTATGTCATTACAGTTAGCCTACAACAGATTATGCAGTCATTGAAAAAGGTATTTAAAGCATCAGACATCTCTAATTTAACCCTTTATCTTATATAACAAAGTTAATAACTTCAGGTTTTCAAAGGCTACCTGAAAGAAATACCTCTCAGACACTGCATTTGCACTGCCCGGTGCTCGCTGTGACCTCACAGTGCCCACACGCTGCACGAGAAGCTCAGTGCTGCTGGGACCAGCACACGGCTATCGGCATGCTTGTGCACGTGTGACCAGGCAGGGATGGACACAGCCATCACAACTTCCTCGTTCATCTCAAGAGGCTACCGTTAACTACTGCTCTGCGTTTGGCACCTCCAGCTTCAGACCAGTTTAACACTGGGTCCAGGTTCTGTGATCGGAATACACCGGCTAAGCTAGATAACGCTCATCTCACTTCCCTCTTGGGCAGCTCTGGTAAGTCTAATTCAAGGCTACCTAATAAAAAAGCTATAAATTACTATTATTATTAATAATAAAAGGTCTGAACCCTAACGCTTTGGCTAAGAATTCAAAATACACCCCAAATCTGGAAGGTGAATATGTAGGTAGGGAGAGAAAAATCTTTTATTTTCTTTTAGACACTGTTCAGCTACCAAAAGGTTTCCGTATGAGAGGAAAATTATTTGTATTGTGTCTCACAGCACTCAATAACTTATTTTTTTGGGCACATTCTGATTCAGTGAAAGGAAAAAAAAATATATTTCAGGAAAGAAACACCACATGCAGGGACACACTGGGCACAACCCTCTGAGCCAGCCTTTTCCCATCCGCAGGTACGGGTCAGTCTGGCCGCAGCCTCCCAGCCCCCTCCGCCCAAGCGGTCCCCGTCCTGAGGTCAAAGACTGAGACCGATGATCCTGACGTCGATCGGGTAATCTAGCTAATCGCCCAGTCCTGCTCCGACTGCTGCCTGGGCTCCCCCGCGCAGCTCCTCCTGCTCTCTGACCACCGCCGCTGAGATTTTACGTGTTAATTTAGCTCTTCCAAAGGTATTGCTTCAAACTGGAGCTTTGAGTGCACTATGAACATCTGTGTTGTTTAGAAGTCTGCAGCTCTATTTAACCATAACAAGCTTCCTTTAAAACCAATCCAACGTGCCCTTGGTGCACAGATGCTGCAGATCACAGGTGTACACTATGTGCTGCTTAATGAAATCTCCACTGTTAAATTAGGGCCAATTTGTTGAATAAAAATGAATTCAGTTTGATCCAGGAGATACCTACCAGTCTGCAAGCTGCCTGTGAAGAAAAAAAAAAAAAAACAGGCATAGGAATAAAATCCCACACTGCTGAAATCTTTAATCGCTTCAACCTGAACAGTTCAGGGTATCTGGAGTTTGGTGCAATGGGGTGTTTGCATTTATTTTCCAAAATTGGTACAAAAAGGACACACTGGCCTCTGCAGAAGAGTGGAGGCCAAGGTGGTAATGGGAATTCAGCTGGGAAGCTCGTTATTTAAGGGAACAGAAGAGTCTGATTACAAGGAACGCAACCTTTGGCTTTTCAAATATGAAACAGACAATAAAGGTGCAAGTTATTTAAGTTCAGAGTTCTTCATAAACCAGGATATTATCTATCCTACTGTTTTCACAAGTGGCTCTCATTGACAATACTGAAAGCCGCTCTGTATTTTTAAAAAGTGTTGTATTCACCCGCAAAGAGCCATCTGCTACATATTCTAACCAAGCAGGATGCCCTGAAGAGGTTTCTCTGGGAAGGCTCTGAAGAAAGGTAATCCCCTGGATTAAACAGCACAGTTTTTAACCATCTGTGTACCAGAATATCCCGCGTTCATCAGCTTCGCCAGAAAACGCAACTGGCTTTGGCATGACCAGGTGAGTATAGCGGGTACCACCTGGCTGAAAAGACTTAGAATAAAACCGACAGCTTGTATGTGGAAGCCAGGCTTAACATTTTACATACATCATCAGTACACTGAACCTCCTACCAAGTTTCATGAAACTGGTGGTATCTTAGTTTCTGCCACGTCTCCTGAGCCTTTTATCAGTTGCATTTAGCTCATTAAAATGGCAAACTATTATTACAGCCAAGAAAAATGAATAGTTCTCTGCCAGTTTAGGGAATTAAATACTCGCAGAACATCCCAATGAACGCCAGCACCAAAAAGGGTGACAAAAATCACCAAATTCAGCTGGCCAGAAGCAGGGAGGGAGGAATGAAACTTCATCTGACCCTGCTGCAAGATGCTGCAAATTTAACTGGAAGGGGCAGCGAGGGGGGATCAGCTGGTCCAAGAAAATATGCTTAGCTGTGCGGCAGGACAGAGGGCGAGGGTTACTGACCCTGCTTGCACGGGGAACAGATGCTTCCGACAACACTGAATCGCAGGAGTCGGATCCCTGCTCGGAAGAACCGCCTCGCACCAGTAAAGTGATGGAGGGCTAATTCCACAGGCAGATCAACAATATTTCAGTGTCACTGGCATCCGACAGCAGGCTAACAACAGTTCTTTTCACTTCACTTCAAGGCTGAAGCACTAAGTCTTTATTCATTAACAAACCTTTGGAAACTGTCAAGTGCCAAGTTGCCCAAAATCTCCCTTTTCACATTTCCAATGAACTCTGTACATTTTCCCACGTAAGTCACAAAGGCAGAGCCGCTCGCTTGGATTTCCTCACTGGAGGAGAGCCTGCTTTTTGAAGGAGTTGTCACTGTTGAGCTCCACTGATCAAAATCAGAAGGGGCTGAGGAATCCAAACAATGTTTACTGTAAAAATACTACAGCAGGCCACTGGGGTACAATCTTCACCAGAATTTTAATCTTCTTGATACATGTATATTCATAAGTTTAAATTACTGGGGAAAAAATAAACAAAACCAACCAAACCACACGATGAATGCACGGTGCCAATGCCCAGAGCTTTAAACACGTGCTGTTCACAGCGATTTTAGTGAAGCATCCTTCTTCAATGTAGGGAATCTGGCTGTCAACAGTTCTTCCAAAAAGTGAAATCCTGCTGTAAGGGATAAAATCCACAACCTCTCAACATGGTAAATGATACTTACCCAGCAGACACAGGATAACAGCGGGTCATTAACCTTAATGGATACTCTCTGTCCAAATTGCAATGACTTTGGTTGAAACCAGAAGAAAACAGCTTCCAAATCTTTCCATATGTCGTCAGTAACACAGAGAACAGAGAAATCCCCAAAAGGGACAGATAAGAAACAGCAGGAATGAGAAAGACAACTTCAAAGCCACGCTGGAAGTGCTGGAGAGGAGAAGAGGAGGTAGGCTGCTGTCCCAGCACAGCCCAACACCTCCGAAGCACCAACCCTGCAAGTGTCCCTCACACAAACTATCAGTAACGTCGGCAAGCCCGCTGCAATGGCAGTTCTAAGAGCATATGAGCAGATGATTAAAGAGCCTAGCTTGGAAATGATGTTTTGCCAGCTCTTACAAAAATCATGTCTAGTTGATGCTTTATTATACAAATTCAGGAAGCACTAGAGTATTTTAGGAAAGCCTTGTATTCTCCAAATCATTTCTGGTTACTATGTGGTAAAACATGTCAGGTAAATGTAAGGTTACCAGCTTTTCGGAGATTTCCAGTGCAGAAGACTAGCTACAGGTGTTAATCTTAAACCAAACTATTCAATCTCAACCAGTATTTACTAGCAAAAGTCTAAATAAAAACAGCAAGCCAGAAAACACTTCGGTAAATATTGATTATCACAAAAATGAAACAGCACCACTGGCCTCCGCATTCTGTCCATCTGTCTCAGATTCATCTACAGTCACTCTCACAATCTGGTATGTTTCCAGGGTGAAAAAAATAATTTTTCAAAGAGAGAGGAGAGAAACATATACAAGATAGTATTATCAAAGAAAATACAAGGTGTTTTAAGCTTGGCTTTGTGAGGTGTAAAGAGATTTCTATAGGAAACTCTGAGCTTTGTTTCCTCATCATTATTTTGCATTTAAATGAGTGGAATTTTTTTTAGCTACAAGAAATTAAAAAACCACAGTACTTACCCAGTATCTAGTTCGAATATTCTAAGGTAAGTGGTAACA